ACAAATTTTTAGTGATTTTTAGTGTATGCTTTAGAGTAACATTTACAATTTTGTTTAAATTTGATTAATTTCTATTTTTAATATAAAGTGATGTGTATTGATTTTTTTTTCATTTACCTAGCAACAAGTTTTTAGTCTATACTTTAGAGTAACACTTACAATTTTGTTTATATTTGATTTGGTTTTTAACAACTTATTTTTGTTTTGAATCATGTCTATGATGGAGGCCGGTGCTTACTTTTGACTTGTGACCAAAATAGAGGTAAATTGGAAGTCTTTTTATTTACATTATTCATCTTGTTTAAATATCATTATGCTTTTTTGCTACATGTTTTATTCTATTATATTTTAATATAGTATTAGTTTTTCCTACATGTATAACTTGATAATACTATGTAGTTTCTTTTATTTACATGTTTTTTTTGTTTACATATCATTATCTTTTTTGCTACATGTTATACTCTATATAATTTCTTTTATATTTATTCATTATAACAAATATAAATCATTTAAAAGATAAGTATAAACCATTTAAAGCTAATGATGTAAAAGTGGATGCAAATTTATACAAGACCAAATGTAAGAAATAGAGATATTAATAGTATAATATTTATAGAAATATATTATATGAATAGTTATTATTTTTTATTGGTTTTAGTTTAATATGTTGTTATTAAAATATAACAAAGAATAAAATTTGTAGCAGTTATGATATCAAATTAGGTTTGTCAAAACTTTTAACATTGTAAATGAAAGTCTAAAATATTATATATCTGTATTTTATGTTGTTTATTTTAATAATTATAAATACAATATTTATTGTTATGAAATTATGAATCTTTTTAATATTTAAATTAATATTGTAAATGAAAGTCTGAAATATTTTATATTTGTAATTTCTATTGTTTATTTTAATAATTATAAATACAATATTTATTGTTATGAACATTATGAATCTTTTTAATATTTAAATTAATAATACTGTTATCAATTATTTAACTTTTACATTTTATTTTAAATTTTGTAGAAAATGGATATGTATTTCAATGTTAATTCTTTTCCGTCACTCAATAGTTCATATGCATGGTATAATTTCGCTTGCGTTCGGATTGATTTTGTTTGGGTGGATACAAGGGAAAACAGACAAATTATGCTTGTAATTGACCAAAATATAAGTTCCATATATATATATATATATATATATATATATATATATATATATATATATATATATATATATATATATATATATAATGCTTAATTTCACCATATAAAGAGTATTTCTATTACAATTTTTAACAATTTTTTTATTAACTAGAGAGAAAAAATGGTGGTGGTTGTGCCTAGCTCTTTAATAGGAAGATACCTAGAAAGAGGTATGGAAGGCCGCTTATATTCTATAAATCATTTTAAACTCAATTCCACTCCCGATGACTTCCCCAAGTATGAAGGATACAACTTTGTTGATGATCAATATGTCATAATTGTCAACCAAGCTACCCGATTTACTCTACTTGAGCCGGTCATTGAAAATCATTTTCTGATTTATCCATTGGTTGAGTCTATTGAATATCTTGTGAGAAATCCACGTAAACGAAATCTGATCGGTAATTCTTAAATAGTTATTACAATATAATATTTAACTCATTTTTTTAAAAATAACTAAAATTTGTTTTACTTAAATGGTGGTTTAGATGTTGTTGGTAAAGTTATTGATGACCGTCTTTTACACCATGACTGTGCGGTTGATTTACTTCTTCAAGATCAATCGTAAGCTTTTATATTATTATTATCATTATTATTATTAAGAGTTTAATTATAACTACTATTAAAATTAATATTTCAAATTATTATAGTGGCTATGTAATTCAGCTTATTTTGAACGATGGTCCTGAAGCCTTACCTTTTAAACTCGCACGATCAATTCAAGGGAAATGGATCATATATGTATCTTGTGTTAAATATCGAAGCCGAGGGGGGAGTAAGTATAAACTTTTCAGTTCAAATCATTTAACAAATTAATTATTTTTATTATCCATATGAAGTATTTATGTATAAAAATTAATTTCAGTGAACTTTTTGGAGTCTACTTCCATTTCGAGGGTTGCATATGAGCCGGTTATGGCAGAAGCAAATGCTATTAGGGCGATTTATGGATGATATAATTATGTATTTCAATTTTAAAAATAAAAAACTTAAGAACGTTTGGTGGTGGTTTTTTTATGTAAGAATATTAGCTATTGGTATTTTGTTGTTGTAACCTTAATATATCTATTATGTTGCAATTTATTATCTTTGATCTATATTATTCAAGTATTGAACAAATTTATGTATTGAGTTGGTAGATATAATATGCTTTTTATTTATGTTTTATAAACTTATAGTGTGAAATGGGGACCCAAGATAGTGAAAATGAAAATGGCGATTTGACCCAAATTTCTTTAGATATCGAAAAAGGTATGCATAATATATTAATGATAATCATATATTGATTTTTCTTAATTTGAACTAAAAAACTTATAAGAAAAAGGATTGTATTATTAATATTATTGCAGAAAGAAGAAAACGATACAACAAAGAATATTGGAAAACACGATTTACGCAAAACAAAAAGCAAAAGGTTGTTATTTGTGAGGAACCCCAAAGTAGTGCAGAAAAACGAAAAAAAGCTAATCGTGAATATTATGTACGAATTAAGACCAAACAACAATTAGAAAAGGTACCATTACAAAACTTGGAAAACCAATGTAGTGGTGGAATAATGCTATCCGCAAATAACCATTCAACCTCACATGGTACTCGAGCCAGAGACAAAGAAAATATTATGCCGCGTAGTAAGGATAAAGCTGCTCAAAATAGGAAAGATACTAACAAAAAGTATTATGAACGCAACAAAGAAAAAAGGAGAATGCTTGAAAGAGATCACCAACAAAGAAACAATGAAAGTATATTTGCTACTGCAGAGGTCATTCACAAACATCATGTTACATGTGCTGAAGAAAACAACCAAATATATTCGGGGTTAACACACGAAACATTAGATGGTTAGTCCTAATTTAATTCTACAACAAATTTTAGTATAAACCATCATTATTTAAAATGAACAATTACATCTTTTTTATCTTTCATTTAAAATAGTTGTTTTTTCATATATTATAGAAGTTGGAGGTTGTAGCGAGGTCCATGTCAATCAAGTAATTCCAGATGACATTCTTCTAGAGGATCCATACCATTCTATTTTCGATGGTATCCCTGAAGTACATTCTATTTTGGAGGGAAGTAATATATGTGTTCATTGTGGAGCCAAACGGTTCAAACATGAATTCGCTACTTTTTGTTGCATGAGTGGGAAAACAAAGTTGGCATCTTCCCAAATTCCTGATGAGTTATATCGTCTTTTTACATCAGAAGAGGAGTCAAGCAAAATATTTAGAGATAATATACGTGCTTACAATACAAAATTTTCTTTCACATCCATGGGAGTAGAGTTGGATGATGATTTGAGCAATATGAAATCCGGAGTATATACATTTCGTGCGAACGGAGCAATATATCACAAAATTGATCAGTTAGTACCGAGGGATGGATTACCTAGGTACTTACAATTATATTTCTATGATTCTGAAACCGACTTTACACATAGACTTCAATGGCCAAATATTGATAGAAAGATCATTCAAGTGTTGGTGGGCGTTCTTTCAACAAACCCGTATGCTACAACATTTCGAAGCCTTCGTGAGCTAGGACCTCTCGATAACCCATAGAGTCACTTTGAACGCATCAGTGGAACTTGACCAAAGGGTATACAATCGACCGACCACATCTGAGGTTTGGATATAATAATTATTTCTCTTAATTTCAAGTCATCATATCAGTTATCGTATTACATATTCACCATACTAAAATCACAAATTATATAGGTTGCTGGTATTTGGGTAGAAGGTAATGACAACATAACAACATATAAAAGAAGCATTGTTGTATATGGGAGATCTGACTATAGTACACAAATTCAACCTTACGAAGGTTGTTATGATCCTTTGTCTTATCCATTGTTCTTTCCTAATGGTGAGTCTGGTTGGCATGCAAAAATAGCAAGGGATGGGGTGTCCATCAATGAAGTTGTGGGTAATGAAGAAAATATTGTGGATGATTTAGAAGGTACATACATTTTTGAAATATGAAAATGAATGATTTCGGTAAAAATATACATAAATACAAAATTTACATGTTTCTAACATTACCCTTATGCAGGGGCTAAGTCAAAGAAGGGTAGGAATACCGTAACAATGCGTGAGTACTACTGTTACAAATTCCAGATTCGTTCATCTAAAAATTTAATTCTATTGGGAAGAAGATTGCTACAACAATTTGTGGTAGATATCTACATAAAGATCGAGACTTCACGCTTGCTTTTTTGTAAGCTAAACCAAAAGAAGATAAGATCTTACCTTTACCAAGGAATTGTTGACTGTGTCAATGTCGGTGAAGTTGAACCAAGTAGAGTCGGTCAACGGATAGTCTTACCTGCATCTTTCATCGGTGGAGCACATGACATGCGACGAAGGTTCCTAGATGCAATTACGTTAGTTCAAGATGAAGGAAAGCCTGATATATTCCTTATAGTAACATGCAATCCAAACTGGCCAGAAATTGTTGATGATTTGAAACCCGGGCAAAGTGCACAAGATCGACCAGACCTTGTATCAAGAGTGTTTCGTGCAAAATTAGAGGATCTAAAGAACCAACTTCTAAAGCACCATATCCTGGGTGTGGTTCGAGCATATGTTTATGTGGTGGAGTTTCAAAAGCGTGGTTTGCCACATGCACATTTCCTCTTGATAATGAGACCAGAACACAAGATGACAAATGCTGACCATTATGACAAAATGGTGTGTGCTGAACTTCCCGATCCGAAAAAGTATCCCAAAATGCATGAAATTGTTGCGAAGCACATGATCCACGGTCCTTGTGGTCATTTATGAGAAACCAGTCCATGTATGCAAGGAGAGCCAAAACAATGTCGGTGGAGATATCCTAGACAATTTAATGAAGCGACGACACAAGGAGAAGACTCATATCCATTATATAGGAGGAGAAACAATGGGAGAGAGGTCAACGTACGAGGAAATACACTTGATAACAGATGGGTGGTACCATATAACCCGAAGCTGTTAATGATGTTCAATTGCCACATGAATGTCGAGGTTTGCTCGAGCATAAAATCTGTGAAATATGCTTTTAAATACGTTTACAAGGGACATGACAAACAAGTTGTCCACATTGATCAAGATGGAGCGGAACCCATCATCAATGAGATTAAAAGATATCAAGATGCACGTTACGTCTCACCCCCCGAGGCAATATGGAGGATTTTTAGCTTTGCGCTTTCTCAAATCCACCCTTTCGTCATGTCTTTGCATCTTCATCTCCCGAACCAACAATTGGTTAGATTCTCAGATAATGATTCAATGATTGATATTGTGGACATGGAGAAAGATAAGAGTTCAAAGTTGACCGCATTTTTTGACATGAATAAAATGGATGAGATTGCGAGGCAATATCTATATAAAGAATTCCCAAGATACTTTACATGGAATTTAACCAAACGTTGTTGGAAGCAAAGGAAAAAAGGAGCAATGAGAGGCCGATTGGTTTCTGCTAACCCTGCCGAAGGAGAGAGATACTACCTACGGGTTCTCCTATCACATGTTAGAGGGCCAACATGCTTTGAAGATCTTTACACGGTGAACAACGTGTTACATCCAACATTTCGTAAAGCTGCTCTTGAGAGAGGGTTAATAGAGACCGATGATAACCTATCTCAATGTCTTACTGAGGCTTCATTATATCAATTTCCAGGTGCTCTTAGAAGGTTATTTGCAACTATACTCATTTATTGCGAACCCGGAGATGTTCGCAAGTTATGGGATGACCACTATAATTCACTTTCTGAAGATTATATGCGACAATGTGAAAGTGTTGAGCGAGTTCAAACCATGGTTCTTATGGATATCTCTATAATTTTGCAATCTATGGGTAAGCATTTCAATGAGTTTGATCTTCCTATGTTAAATACAAACATCAATTTGGAATCTGGAGATTATCGCGAGGTCCAAGAGGATTACTCCATCGTTGTGGATGATGAACACCTTCGTGCAAAAGATTCTCTCAATACCGACCAAAAAAATGCATATGATGAGATCATGACCCTTCGTTAATCAGAATCGTCCGGGTGTGTTTTTTATAGATGGTCCTGGTGGAACTGGAAAAACATTTTTTGTACAAAGCCTTACTTGCCGAGGTTCGTTCCCATGGTCATATTGCACTTGCGACAGCTTCATCTGGTGCTGCAGCTAATAATATGCCCGGGGGGAGAACATCTCACTCGCGGTTTAAGATTCTGATAAATCTTGATAATAACTCAATGTGCAAAATCAATCAGCAAAGTGGGGTTGCTCAACTACTTCGTTTGGCCAAAATAATCATATGGGATGAAGCATCAATGGCGAATAGGCAAGCAATAGAGGCGGTGGATCGAACGATGCAAGACATTACAAAGGTGAGCCTCCCTTTTGGTGGAAAGATAATGATCTTGGGAGGTGATTTTAGGCAGGTGTTACCAGTAATCAGACGTGGTACTAGAGCATAGATTGTAGACGCCAGCTTGAGGATGTCACCTCTTTGGTCTTTGATTAAAAAAATACGTTTAACTATAAATATGAGAGCACTGGCCGATCCATGGTTTTCAGATTTTTTGATACGAATTGGCAACGGAGATGAAGAAACCGTCGATGAAAGTTTTGTTCGAATACCTGATGATATGTGCATTCCTTACACCGACCAAGACAAATCAAAAAACGAGTTGATTAATGCAATCTTTCCTTCTTTGCACATCAATGGAGGCTCTTCAGAGTATATTATTTCCAGGGCGATACTATCAACAAAAAATGAAAGTGTTGATGGAATTAATGATCAACTGATTGATAGGTTTTGTGGAGAGGAGAGGATTTACTATAATTTTGATGAGGCAGAAGATGATAAGAACAATTTCTATCCGATGGAATTCTTAAACTCTATAAATATCAGTGGTTTACCTCCTCATTACCTTCGACTCAAAACTAGATGCCCTATAATACTATTAAGGAATATTGATCCTTCCTTAATAGTATTATAGGGCCAACATGCTTTGAAGGTAATGAGGAGGTAAACCACTGATATTTATAGAGTTTAAGAATTCCATCGGATAGAAATTGTTCTTATCATCTTCTGCCTCATCAAAACTATAGTAAATCCTCTCCTCTCCACAAAACCTATCAATCAGTTGATCATTAATTCCATCAACACTTTCATTTTTTGTTGATAGTATCGCCCTAGAAATAATATACTCTGAAGAGCCTCCATTGATGTGCAAAGAAGGAAAGATTGCATTAATCAACTCGTTTTTTGATTTGTCTTGGTCGGTGTAAGGAATGCACATATCATCAGGTATTCGGACAAAACTTTCATCGATGGTTTCTTCATCTCCGTTGCCAATTCGTATCAAAAAATCTGAAAACCATGGATCGGCCAGTGCTCTCATATTTATAGTTAAACGTATTTTTTTAATCAAAGACCAAAGAGGTGACATCCTCAAGCTGGCGTCTACAATCTGTGCTCTAGTACCACGTCTGATTACTGGTAACACCTGCCTAAAATCACCTCCCAAGATCATTATCTTTCCACCAAAAGGGAGGCTCACCTTTGTAATGTCTTGCGTCGTTCGATCCACCGCCTCTATTGCTTGCCTATTCGCCATTGATGCTTCATCCCATATGATTATTTTGGCCAAACGAAGTAGTTGAGCAACCCCACTTTGCTGATTGATTTTGCACATTGAGTTATTATCAAGATTTATCGGAATCTTAAACCGCGAGTGAGATGTTCTCCCCCCGGGCATATTATTAGCTGCAGCACCAGATGAAGCTGTCGCAAGTGCAATATGACCATGGGAACGAACCTCGGCAAGTAAGGCTTTGTACAAAAATGTTTTTCCAGTTCCACCAGGACCATCTATAAAAAACACACCGGACGATTCTGATTAACGTGGGTCATGATCTCATCATATGCATTTTTTTGGTCGGTATTGAGAGAATCTTTTGCACGAAGGTGTTCATCATCCACAACGATGGAGTACTCCTCTTGGACCTCGCGATAATCTCCAGATTCCAAATTGATGTTTGTATTTAACATAGGAAGATCAAACTCATTGAGATGCTTACCCATAGATTGCAAAATTATAGAGATATCCATAAGAACCATGGTTTGAACTCGCTCAACACTTTCACATTGTCGCATATAATCTTCAGAAAGTGAATTATAGTGGTCATCCCATAACTTGCGAACATCTCCGGGTTCGCAATAAATGAGTATAGTTGCAAATAACCTTCTAAGAGCACCTGGAAATTGATATAATGAAGCCTCAGTAAGACATTGAGATAGGTTATCATCGGTCTCTATTAACCCTCTCTCAAGAGCAGCTTTACGAAATGTTGGATGTAACACGTTGTTCACCGTGTAAAGATCTTCAAAGCATGTTGGCCCTCTAACATGTGATAGGAGAACCCGTAGGTAGTATCTCTCTCCTTCGGCAGGGTTAGCAGAAACCAATCGGCCTCTCATTGCTCCTTTTTTCCTTTGCTTCCAACAACGTTTGGTTGAATTCCATGTAAAGTATCTTGGGAATTCTTTATATAGATATTGCCTCGCAATCTCATCCATTTTATTCATGTCAAAAAATGCGGTCAACTTTGAACTCTTATCTTTCTCCCTGTCCACAATATTAATCATTGAATCATTATCTGAGAATCTAACCAATTGTTGGTTCGGGAGATGAAGATGCGAAGACATGACGAAAGGGTGGATTTGAGAAAGCGCAAAGCTAAAAATCCTCCATATTGCCTCGGGGGGTGAGACGTAACGTGCATCTTGATATCTTTTAATCTCATTGATGATGGGTTCCGCTCCATCTTGATCAATGTGGACAACTTGTTTGTCATGTCCCTTGTAAACGTATTTAAAAGCATATTTCACAGATTTTATGCTCGAGCAAACCTCGACATTCATGTGGCAATTGAACATCATTAACAGCTTCGGGTTATATGGTACCACCCATCTGTTATCAAGTGTATTTCCTCGTACGTTGACCTCTATCCCATTGTTTCTCCTCCTATATAATGGATATGAGTCTTCTCCTTGTGTCGTCGCTTCATTAAATTGTCTAGGATATCTCCACCGACATTGTTTTGGCTCTCCTTGCATACATGGACTGGTTTCTCGTAAATGACCACAAGGTCCGTGGATCATGTGCTTCACAACAATTTCGTGTATTTTGGAATACTTTTTCGGATCGGGAAGTTCAGCACACACCATTTTGTCATAATGGTCAGCATTTGTCATCTTGTGTTCTGGTCTCATTATCAAGAGGAAATGTGCATGTGGCAAACCACGCTTTTGAAACTCCACCACATAAACATATGCTCGAACCACACCCAGGATATGGTGCTTTAGAAGTTGGTCCTTTAGATCCTCTAATTTTGCACGAAACACTCTTGATACAAGGTCTGGTCGATCTTGTGCACTTTGCCCGGGTTTCAAATCATCAACAATTTCTGGCCAGTTTGGATTGCATGTTACTGTAAGGAATATATCAGGCTTTCCGTCATCTTGAACTAACGTAATTGCATCTAGGAACCTTCGTCGCATGTCACGTGGTCCACCGATGAAAGATGCAGGTAAGACTATCCGTTGACCGACTCTACTTGGTTCAACTTCACCGGCATTGACACAGTCAACAATTCCTTGGTAAAGGTCAGATCTTATCTTCTTTTGGTTTAGCTTACAAAAAAGCAAGCGTGAAGTCTCGATCTTTATGTAGATATCTACCACAAATTGTTGTAGCAATCTTCTTCCCAATAGAATTAAATTTTTAGATGAACGAATCTGGAATTTGTAACAGTAGTACTCACGCATTGTTACGGTATTCCTACCCTTCTTTGACTTAGCCCCTGCATAAGGGTAATGTTAGAAACATGTAAATTTTGTATTTATGTATATTTTTACCGAAATCATTCATTTTCATATTTCAAAAATGTATGTACCTTCTAAATCAACCACAATATTTTCTTCAATACCCACAACTTCATTGATGGACACCCCATCCCTTGCTATTTTTGCATGCCAACCAGACTCACCATTAGGAAAGAACAATGGATAAGACAAAGGATCATAACAACCTTCGTAAGGTTGAATTTGTGTACTATAGTCAGATCTCCCATATACAACAATGCTTCTTTTATATGTTGTTATGTTGTCATTACCTTCTACCCAAATACCAGCAACCTATATTATTTTTGATTTTAGTATGGTGAATATGTAATACGATAACTGATATGATGACTTGAAATTAAGAGAAATAATTACTATATCCAAACCTCAGATGTGGTCAGTCGATTGTATACCCTTTGGTCAAGTTCCACTGATGCGTTCAAAGTGACTCTATAGTTATCGAGAGGTCCTAGCTCACGAAGGCTTCGAAACGTTGTAGCATACGGGTTTGTTGAAAGAACGCCCACCAACACTTGAATGATCTTTCGATCAATATTTGGCCATTGAAGTCTATGTATAAAGTCGGTTTCAGAATCATAGAAATATAATTGTAAGTACCTAGGTAATCCATCCCTCGGTACTAACTGATCAATTCTGTGATATATTGCTCCGTTCGCACGAAATGTATATACTCCGGATTTCATATTGCTCAAATCATCATCCAACTCTACTCCCATGGATGTGAAAGAAAAGTTTGTATTGTAAGCACGTATATTATCTCTAAATATTTTGCTTGACTCCTCTTCTGATGTAAAAAGACGATATAACTCATCAGGAATTTGGGAAGATGCCAACTTTGTTTTCCCACTCATGCAACAAAAAGTAGCGAATTCATGTTTGAACCGTTTGGCTCCACAATGAACACATATATTACTTCCCTCCAAAATAGAATGTACTTCAGGGATACCATCGAAAATAGAATGGTATGGATCCTCTAGAAGAATGTCATCTGGAATTACTTGATTGACATGGACCTCGCTACAACCTCCAACTTCTATAATATATGAAAAAACAACTATTTTAAATGAAAGATAAAAAAGATGTAATTGTTCATTTTAAATAATGATGGTTTATACTAAAATTTGTTGTAGAATTAAATTAGGACTAACCATCTAATGTTTCGTGTGTTAACCCCGAATATATTTGGTTGTTTTCTTCAGCACATGTAACATGATGTTTGTGAATGACCTCTGCAGTAGCAAATATACTTTCATTGTTTCTTTGTTGGTGATCTCTTTCAATCATTCTCCTTGTTTCTTTGTTGCGTTCATAATACTTTTTGTTAGTATCTTTCCTATTTTGAGCAGCTTTATCCTTACTACGCGGCATAATATTTTCTTTGTCTCTGGCTCGAGTACCATGTGAGGTTGAATGGTTATTTGCGGATAGCATTATTCCACCACTACATTGGTTTTCCAAGTTTTGTAATGGTACCTTTTCTAATTGTTGTTTGGTCTTAATTCGTACATAATATTCACGATTAGCTTTTTTTTCGTTTTTCTGCACTACTTTGGGGTTCCTCACAAATAACAACCTTTTGCTTTTTGTATTGCGTAAATCGTGTTTTCCAATATTCTTTGTTGTATCGTTTTCTTCTTTCTGCAATAATATTAATAATACAATCCTTTTTCTTATAAGTTTTTTAGTTCAAATTAAGAAAAATCAATATATGATTATCATTAATATAATATGCATACCTTTTTCGATATCTAAAGAAATTTGGGTCAAATCGCCATTTTCATTTTCACTATCTTGGGTCCCCATTTCACACTATAAGTTTATAAAACATAAATAAAAAGCATATTATATCTACCAACTCAATACATAAATTTGTTCAATACTTGAATAATATAGATCAAAGATAATAAATTGCAACATAATAGATATATTAAGGTTACAACAACAAAATACCAATAGCTAATATTCTTACATAAAAAAACCACCACCAAACGTTCTTAAGTTTTTTATTTTTAAAATTGAAATACATAATTATATCATCTATAAATCGCCCTAATAGCATTTGCTTGTGCCATAACCGGCTCATATGCAACCCTCGAAATGGAAGTAGACTCCAAAAAGTTCACTGAAATTAATTTTTATACATAAATACTTCATATGGATAATAAAAATAATTAATTTGTTAAATTATTTGAACTGAAAAGTTTATACTTACTCCCCCCTCGGCTTCGATATTTAACACGAGATACATATATGATCCATTTCCCTTGAATTGATCGTGCGAGTTTAAAAGGTAAGGCTTCAGGACCATCGTTCAAAATAAGCTGAATTACATAGCCACTATAATAATTTGAAATATTAATTTTAATAGTAGTTATAATTAAACTCTTAATAATAATAATGATAATAATAATATAAAAGCTTACGATTGATCTTGAAGAAGTAAATCAACCGCACAGTCATGGTGTAAAAGACGGCCATCAATAACTTTACCAACAACATCTAAACCACCATTTAAGTAAAACAAATTTTAGTTATTTTTAAAAAAATGAGTTAAATATTATATTGTAATAACTATTTAAGAATTACCGATCAGATTTCGTTTACGTGGATTTCTCACGAGATATTCAATAGACTCAACCAATGGATAAATCGGAAAATGATTTTCAATGACCGGCTCAAGTAGAGTAAATCGGGTAGCTTGGTTGACAATTATGACATATTGATCATCAACAAAGTTGTATCCTTCATACTTGGGGAAGTCATCGGGAGTGGAATTGAGTTTAAAATGATTTATAGAATATAAGCGGCCTTCCATACCTCTTTCTAGGTATCTTCCTATTAAAGAGCTAGGCACAACCACCACCATTTTTTCTCTCTAGTTAATAAAAAAAATTTTAAAAAATAGTAATAGAAATACTCTTTATATGGTGAAATTAGGCATTATATATATATATATATATATATATATATATATATATATATATATATATATATATATATATATATTTGGAACTTACATTTTGGTCAATTACAAGCATAATTTGTCTGTTTTCCCTTGTATCCACCCAAACAAAATCAATCCGAACGCAAGCGAAATTATACCATGCATATGGACTATTGAGTGACCGAAAAGAGTTAACATTGAAATACATATCCATTTTCTACAAAATTTAAAATAAAATGTAAAAGTTAAATAATTGATAACAATATTATTAATTTAAATATTAAAAAGATTCATAATGTTCATAACAATAAATATTGTATTTATAATTATTAAAATAAACAACATAAAATACAGATATATAATATTTTAGACTTTCATTTACAATGTTAAAAGTTTTGACAAACCTAATTTGATATCATAACTGCTACAAAATTTTATTCTTTGTTATATTTTAATAACAACATATTAAACTAAAACCAATAAAAAATAATAACTATTCATATAATATATTTCTATAAATATTATACTATTAATATCTCTATTTCTTACATTTGGTCTTGTATAAATTTGCATCCACTTTTACATCATTAGCTTTAAATGGTTTATACTTATATTTTAAATGATTTACATTTGTTATAATGAATAAATATAAAAGAAATTATATAGAGTATAACATGTAGCAAAAAAAGATAATGATATGTAAACAAAATAAAACATGTAAATAAAAGAAACTACATAGTATTATCAAGTTATACATGTAGGAAAAACTAATACTATATTAAAATATAATAGAATAAAACATGTAGCAAAAAAGCATAATGATATTTAAACAAGATGAATAATGTAAATAAAAAGACTTCCAATTTACCTCTATTTTGGTCACAAGTCAAAAGTAAGCACCGGCCTGCATCATAGATATGATTAAAAACAAAAATAAGTTGTTAAAAACCAAATCAAATATAAACAAAATTGTAAGTGTTACTCTAAAGTATAGACTAAAAACTTGTTGCTAGGTAAATGAAAAAAAAAATCAATACACATCACTTTATATTAAAAATAGAAATTAATCAAATTTAAACAAAATTGTAAATGTTACTCTAAAGCATACACTAAAAATCACTAAAAATTTGTTGTAGGTAAATGAAAAAAAATCAAAACACATCACTCATTATTAAAATTAGAAATTACGATTTAATTTTTGTAGATCAGAATACAACAGAAAGAAAAAGGAAGCATACCTGTTTTTTTAAAACTCAACTTCTACAATTTGTTTATCAACCAATGAACATATTTATATTGGTTTTACTTTTGGAATCTTTTGCTAGTACTGACTTTGATGGTCTATAAAATAGTGTTTCAATTAGGCTTTAGGCTGTCAAAAGTAGACTTCAGAAAATAGTGTTTCAATTAGGCTTTAGGCTGTCAAAAGTAGACTTTAAAAAATAGTGTTTCAATTAGGCTTTAGGCTATCAAAAGTAGACTTTACTTTACGACAGTTTATACAAACTGTTGTTATTGTCTATTAAACAGTTTATTTTACAGTCTATAAGACTTTTTTTATGAGTCTATAAATTATTGTTTTCTTTTTACATGCTTTTACCTAATATTCTACTGTTGACTGTTAAATAAACTATTTTAGACACTCTGAAAAATACTATTTATGACCACCCATTTACCTACTAATTTACTGTTTTTGACATGGATTTTACCTACTACATTGCTGTTTTCAGAGTCAACAATACTATTACTGGCAACATTTGTACCTAATAAAATATTTTGCAATCAGAAAACTACTTTTTTGACATGCAATCAATTTGTGTTTAAAAAAAAACGAAATACCTTTATTTGTTTTATTTTATTCGTTATAATAAATTCCTACTTTCACATAAACACAGAATATAAAAAATGTACCTTAACATTTAAGATATGCATTAATTTTTTTTATTCTATTCTTTAATAAAGCATCCTACTTTCACATTAACAAATTCAAAAACATATAAATAAATTTAGAATGTTATGACACTAAAAAGTGAGAAAATATGATATTATACAAAACTTGTATGATCAATGTTTACAATGCAAGAAATAGCATCATAATTTCAATTTTTGGTTATATTATAATGGAATCAATTAAAATAAGATGATATTTCTTATTCCTTACAAGGAAGGGCAAGAAATATCATTGTACTTCAATGCCGACATAATCATGAAAGTACGATGTTATTTCCTACTTTGTATTTTAAAAACTGGGAAATAACAAGGTACTTTCACGAATTCTTTATCATTTAACCTTACTTTAACATACATACATACAATTACACACTTATTAACGGATTACATAATAGAAAAAATATCATATTTCTACCCTTACTTATTTTGAAGGTTGTCTAAACACATCAAAAACTTGTACCTAGCAAAAAAAGTTAAAATATAAGCCATCATAAAACAATCATGAATTGTATACATATTTGCATCGTACTTTAATTGTAGACTTAAGAAGTATCTTACTTTCATTTCAATGAGAAAAAAAAGTGCATTATAAAAATTGGATCAAAGAAATTATGATGTTATTTCATGCCTTGTATTTAAAATATATTAGAAAACAACACTAAAAAAAGGAATCAATGAAAGTTTGTATTTACAAAGCACAATATAGCATCAAATAGTGCATTATATAAAAATAAGCTAACTTTAATTGTTGCCTGAAAGCTTCATAATTTCATTTCAGTTAAATAAAAAATAGCACATTATAAAACATGAATAAAAGAAAGTTTGATCCTATTTCATGCTTTTATTTAAATAAACATGAAAAATAAGATGCTATAAAGAGATTCAATGCAAGTATGATGCTATTTCTAACTTTTTAAAAAAGAAATACTGATGCTTGTAATAAAATCTTTATAATTGCATTATACTTTTACATACACACATGATTACATACATATACCATACAGTAGGATGCCATTATATACCTTTCATAAAAAGGTTTCATTTTTTGTTCTTTAAATCAAATAAAGGTGCCATTTAAAGTATGATGATATTTCTTACTTTGTATTTTACAAAGGAATAAATACGATCATATATATTTAAATAAAAGCATAATGCAATTTCTAAGGGTAAAAAAGTTTCATAAAAATTTGATTTAATTAAAAGTTTAAATTTTATAATGATATCATATAGAAAAAAAACCTCAGCAAAAATATATGAAGAGTTTAGAAAAATATCAACTACCTTCAATAAATATTTCTTTAACAATTAATCACACCCTTTCATCAGATATGAAAAAAAAATAACATAAATTATGAGTTAATCATGAATATATAAATAAACACCAACAAGTATACCTAAATAACGTAAAAGTTTGTTGGTGCAAATCTGATATCATTCTTTCTTGATCTGCTTGCATTTCATATATACAATAGAAGAAAAAATCACAAAATCAGAATTTTTATGTGTAAATAGATAGAAAAAGAAAATGCACAAAATC